CTGAGGGGCTGGGACTGCTTCACCAGGAGCCCCTTTCCCTGCAGTTCTGGCTCCCAGACACGTTTGGCTACTCAGCCCAGTTGCCCCAGATCATGCGCAGCTGCGGCATCAGGCGCTTCCTGACCCAAAAACTGAGCTGGAACTTGGTGAACTCCTTCCCGGTGAGCAGAAGCAGGGGACCAGGGTCCCCACCTGACCCGTTTCAGCTCCCACCTGGCTTACTCAGGGATGCTGAACCAACCACCCAACTCCACCCAGAGTCTTTTCCCCCCTGACCCCAAGCCCAGGGTTACACAACAGGCCTCAGGCCTGGCTCTGGCCCCTCTCCTGTCTCCCTGCCCGCAGCACCATACTTTTTTCTGGGAGGGACTGGATGGCTCCCGTGTGCTGGCCCACTTCCCACCTGGAGACTCATATGGGATGCAGGGCAGTGTGGAGGAGGTGAGGGGGCACCTGGTGGCTGAGACTGGGGGGGGAGTAGGCTGGCAAGGGCTGGGTGTCCTGTCCTGGGCTCACCCGGGTTAGTTACCCTGCTCTGCCTATCCAGGTGCTGAAGACCGTGGCCAACAACCGGGACAAGGGGCGGACCAACCACAGTGCCTTCCTCTTCGGCTTTGGGGATGGGGGTGGGGGCCCCACCCAGCCCATGCTGGACCGCCTAAAGCGGCTGCACAACACAGACGGGCTGCCCAGGTGCGCCCTGGCCCTCCAGTAGCCTTCGGAGCTCCCTTTGCCCTGGCCTGCAGCCCTGCTTTCCGCTCAGACATTCCGTCTAGCTCCTCCACTGGACCTTGTCCCATTCCAGTCCCTGACCCTCAGCTCTTCCCAGCTTCCATCCTGGGGGCGGGGCAAAAGCTGCGGATGAGAAGGGGCTTAAATCTGCTGGAGACAGAACCCTCCCCGCGTGTCTGGAACTGGCTTTGCCTGGACAGGGAGCATTCTGGAGATGGGTGGTGGGGATGCTCCTTTCTCTCGGGGCTGGATCTCTCATCTGCTCTGGCATGGGGGAAGGGTGAGCCACACAGTACCCCCAAGGCTGGGCAACCCAGGCTGTGTCTCCCTCAGGGTGCAGCTGTCCTCTCCGGGGCGACTCTTCTCCGCACTGGAGAGCCACTCAGGGCAGCTGTGCACGTGGGTCGGGGAGCTCTTCCTGGAGCTACACAATGGCACCTACACCACGCAGGCCCAGGTCAGGCGCTGGTCCCTGAGCCCAGCAGGGAGCGTGTGCCCTGGGTCTGCAGGGGCAGATAGACTCTGCTAGTCCAGACCTGGGGGAGAGAGGCTCATGTTCCAGAGAGGCACTGAGGGGAGAGAAGTACCAGAGCCGGGTGGGCCAGGGACCTGGAGGTGGCAGGGCTGAGTATTCCTGAAGAAGGCGGGCCTCGGGCTGGGGAGGAAAGGGACAGGTCAGGCACCAGAGGCTTTATCTGGGAGGCCCTGGGGAGCCTCGGGTTCTGAGCACGGAGGGCTTTGGAAGGTGGCCTGGGACAGACGCCCCCCCCCCAACAACTGTGCTCAGCTCAAGAAGGGGAACCGGGAGTGTGAGCGGATCCTGCACGACGTGGAGCTGCTCAGCAGCCTGGCCGTGGCCCGCAGCACCCAGTTCCTGTACCCGGCAGCCCAGCTGCAGGACCTCTGGAGGTCAGGCCTGCTTCTGCCCAGCCCTGCCACCGCCCCAGCCTCCCCCGGCCAGCTCTGTGGCTGCCCCTCCAGCCTTCTCCATCCCTGCTCCGGGCTCCTGCAGGCTGCTGCTCCTGAACCAGTTCCATGATGTGCTGACCGGAAGCTGTATCCAGCTGGTGGTGGAGGAGGCCATGTGCCACTATGAAGGTGAGCTGGATGGCCTGCCTGCCACTGTGCCCGACGCCCGGGGCGGAGCCCGGAGAGTGGCCTGTGGGCTACTCAGGGGTCCTCCCAAACCCACCGCCCGCCGATGACCAGCCCATCTCTTCTCAGACATCCGTTCCCATGGCAACACGCTGCTGAGTGCTGCGGTGGCCGCTCTGTGTGCCGGGGAGCCGGGCCCCGAGGGCCTCCTCATTGTCAACACGCTGCCGTGGAAACGCACTGAAGTGTTGGCCCTGCCCAGGCCTGGTGGGGCCCACAGCCTCGGTAGGAGCTGGGGGGAGAGGCTGCTACTGCAATGTGAGGGACATTGCCCCAGGGGACGGGGCGCTGCCCTGGGGTGCCCCCAGCTGGGGGGCAGTAGGAGAAGCAGCCACCCAACCCTCGGGTGAGGCTCCCGGAAGGTCAGGGAGGCCGCACTGATGCCTGGGCCTCATCCCCAGCCCTGGTGACCGTGCCCAGCATGGGCTATGCCCCTGCCCCCAGCCCCACCTCACTGCAGCCCCTGCAGACCCAGCAGCCTGTGTTTGTGGTGCAAGAGGTGAGTGTTGGCACAAGCGGGTGTGCGGGGCCCCTCCTGGGCCTTTCCTAACAATGTGGGGATTCTAAGCTCTCCAGCTGGAGCAAGTGGTGGGGGGGCTGGGCTGGGGGTGCCATTGGTGGTGGGAAGTCCCTGCAGACTCAACTTCAAGGACGCTTCCCACCAAGACCGACGGTTCTGTGACTCTGGACAATGGCATCATCCGTGTGAGGCTGGACCCAACTGGCTGCCTGACGTCCCTGGTGCTCGTGGCCTCCGGCAGGTGCCAACTCCTCATTGCCCTCTTCCATTGCTTGGCAGGTGGCTCCCAGAGCCCATTCCCTCTGTCCCCTGGCCCCAGCACTGCCCACGGCAGCCCATCAGGGGCTCTGGACCCACACAGAGCAGGGCAGGCTGGGCTAGGAAGAGTGCCTTTGTCCCATGGGCCTGTTCTCCCGGCCCCCACCCCACCTCAGGCAGCTGGAGAGACCAAGGTCATAAAGTTCTCATCCTTCTAGGGAGGCCATTGCTGAGGGCACAGTGGGGAACCAGTTTGTGTTGTTCGATGATGTCCCTCTGTACTGGGACGCATGGGACGTCATGGACTACCATTTGGAGACACGGTACAGTGTGGACAGGCCCGAGGTGGGGGTGGGCCCCCTCCGTCCGCTTGCCCTGGCTCAGCTTAGCTACCCCACCCCGCAGGAAGCCAGTGCTGGGCCAGGCAGGAACCTTGGCAGTGGGCACTGAGGGCGGCCTGCGGGGCAGCGCCTGGTTCCTGCTGCAGATCAGCCCCAGTAGTCGGCTCAGCCAGGAGGTGGTGCTGGACATCGGCTGCCCCTACGTCCGCTTCCACACCGAGGTAGAGGCGGCGGGGGGGTGGGCATTCTCCCTGGGCGGCTGGGGAGGAGGGAGTCGCCCAGGCCTATGTGTGTGTGTGTGTGTGTGTGTGTGTGTGTGTCCTTCCGTCGCAGGTGCACTGGCACGAGGCCCACAAGTTCCTGAAGGTGGAGTTCCCCACCCGCGTGCGGAGCCCCCAAGCCACCTATGAGGTCCAGTTCGGACATCTGCAGCGGCCCACGCACCGCAACACCTCTTGGGACTGGGCTCGATTTGAGGTCTGACATGGGGTGGGGTGGGGTTTGCAGCCTGCCTGGCTGGGAAGAGCCCCGTGTGGTGTGGGGTCAGGAGGAGGACGGTGATCACCATGCTGGACATTTGGGCTGGACCTTGTGCTAAATGCTGTGTTTACTTTGACCCACATGCCCGTTTGGTGGGGTGAATTCTGTTGTCCCCATTTCACAGATGAGGAACTGAGGCCTAAACAGGTTGGATGGTGTATCCAGCGCCTCCTGTGGTGAGGGCTGGAGCTCCATCCCGTGGTCCCAGAGAGGGCCCTCCCAGTAGTGGCGGGAGCTCCGGGGCGGGGAGGGGGCGGGGCCACCAAGCGGGTCTGGCATCCGCCCTCCAGGTGTGGGCCCACCGCTGGATGGACCTGTCAGAGCACGGCTTTGGGCTGGCTCTGCTCAACGACTGCAAGTACGGCGCGTCGGTCCACGGCAACGTCCTCAGCCTCTCTCTGTGAGTGGAGGGCCCGCCAGGCCGCGAGGGCAGGCATGGGGGCGCACGTCCTCCCGGGCCAGAGCCCCCACAGTTCCAGCCCGGCCCATTCCCGCCCTTCCCACCCCAGCTTGCGGGCACCGAAGGCCCCCGATGCCACTGCTGACATGGGTCGCCACGAGTTCACCTACGCGCTGATGCCGCACAAGGGTGAGTGCGGCAGCCCGGCGTGTGTCTCTGCCCTGCTCTGAGCCTCGGTTTCTCCCAGCGGAGAAAACGCCAGCGTGTCCACGCTCCCACCCCCATTTCCAGGCTCCTTCCAGGAAGCTGGCGTTATCCGCGCTGCCTACAGTCTCAACTTCCCCCTGTTGGCACTGCCTGCCCCAGGCCCGGCGCCCGCGGCATCCTGGAGCGCCTTCTCTGTGTCCTCGCCCGCAGTAGTGTTGGAGACCGTCAAGCAGGCAAGGGGCGGGGGCGGGGCGGCAGGGGGCGGGGCCTCAGCTGGGCCCGCACCTGCCCCGCCCACCACCCGCCTCCCTCCGGCAGGCAGAGGCCAGCCTCCAGGGCCGCACGCTGGTGCTCAGGCTGTACGAGGCCCACGGCAGCCACGTCGACTGCTGGCTGTACACGTCGCTGCCGATTCAGGAGGCCGTCCTGTGAGTGGGGGGCATGGGGGGGGCGGGAGTCCTGCCCTCGCGGGGCCCTCATAACCCCCCCTGTTCTCTAGCTGCAACCTCCTGGAGCAGCGCGACCCTGCTGGCCACCTGCCCCTTCAGGACTCCCGCCTGAAGCTCACCTTTTCTCCCTTCCAAGTTCGGTCCCTGTTGCTTGTGCTGCAGCCCCCTCCCAACTGAGCCCCTGACGGTGGGGCTTTCTATGTGGAAGGCTTCGCTCCTTACTTCTGCCTCCCCAGCCTGAAGCAAGAGTCCCTCACCTGTTGAACAATAAATAAACCCTCGACTCAGGAACCCTGCTAGCAGTAGTCCCTGCTCACTCCCCTCGGGGCCTAGCCTCAAGGAGGAAGACTTTTCCCCAGGCATTTGTGCAGGGTCTGGGTTGCTGCGCCCCCTGGGATTTGGGATATCAGGGACCACAACCTAGAGAAGAGATGGGATAAGAAGCTCCTCCCATGGGGAGGAGGCCAGGAGGGTGGATTCCAGCTGGCTGCCCTCTAGAAGAGGAGCAAGAGGATGCACAGGCAATGGCAGTGCTGGGAATTCTGGATGGGAGGAACTGGGGGGGCCCCCTGCTGCCTGGGGCCCAGGTCTCTACACCACCTCCAAGCGGCTGTACCTGCAGAGGCAGGCAGTCCTCTGAGAGCCAGGGCCTGGAAGACGGGTGGAGGGGCTCAGTTGGCCTTGCCTGGGTGGCTCTCCTGTTTCCAAGGTCAGGCAACAGCTTCTCCCAACTTGGGCTTCCCAGACCTTCTACAGCCAGCCCAAGAAGTGCCAAGAAATTCAAGTGTATTCGTTTATTAAAAATGATAGCATTTTTCATGTGGGCTTAAAAAATGGGGAATAGGGTACAATTAAAAACATCATAGTTGTGTAAGGAATAGCCACAGGGCCGGGGCACCCGGCCCCCAGCGGCTCCAACCTGCTTCAGCTGAGCCACCCAGGCCCCGCAGGACTTGGCAGAGCAAGGAGGCCTTCCTGCTAAGAGGCTGCCGTCCCCTCATTATCCAAGAATGGGGTGTCAGCTTTGATCCTTCGGGGTCTGCGGTGGCCTGGGAGGAGGACAGGTGAGGCTCAGGACTGCCCTGATGGCCTCCCCTCCACCTCTGTCCGCAGTCTTCCCACCAGCACTACCACTTCCTCCTACAGAGCCTTCTAGCAAGGCCCACCTGAGGTTGCTGGTCGCCTCCTCCTCTTTCCCTTCCCAGGGACTGGCGGGACCTCTGGGTCCTGCTGGAGGCTGGTCCCCTCTGGCTGCTGGGCTGTACTTTGACCAGGAGGGCCTCTGCGTGCCCCACGTGTCCTGGAAGGGGCTGTGCTTGGAACGAGAGGGTCCTGAGTAGAGGAGATAGTCCCCAAGGGACTCTGTGAGCAGTTCAGAGGTTGGTGAGGACCCCAAGTTGCCCCCATTTTCAAGGGAGGGCTCCTGGGGGGTGCGGCTGGGGCAGGAGAGAATGAAGGGAGGAGACATACCTCCAGTCTGTGCTCAGGCCCCTGCTGTGCTCCTTTGGATTTCTTCTTGCGGGACTTGCCTCCTGCAGGACACTGACACTGGGCGGGGGGCAGGATCCTGTGCCCTCAGCCCCCTTCCCGCAGACTCCCGCTCTGGGGTGACTCCCAGGGGTGGAGTGGGGACTGGGATGGAGAAGGGCGATGTAGCTCTTGCAAGCACCTTAGTCCTTCCTGCTCTCCTAGCTTATTACATTGAGAGTGGCTTACCTTTCGGTGCCAGGGGTCCGGGATCCCCCTAAAATGGAATGAGAACTCAGGAATCAACCTGGCTAGAGTAGGGGTAGTTTTCCTTGGAGAAGCAGAGTTCACAACTATCCTTCCAAATCAGTGGGGCTTCTCCCCTAAGAGGCCTCTCGGATAGCCCCATCCTCCCCAGGTGGGAGCCCACATCAAGGCCACCCTGCCTTGGGCTGCTCCACTGGCTGGGACCCTGGGGCTGAGGAGAGGTGGAGTAAAGTATGGGGAAATCCTATACCATTGGGGACAGTGTGACCCCTGGGTGTGTCCACAAGCCCTAGACATCTGCTCCTAGGAGACCCCAGCTCCTGCCCTACTGGGACCCTAGGTCTATCCACCCCACTAGCTTCCTCAGGATTTCCATTTGCCTGTGTGAGGTTAGGGCCCAAACCTGGAACCAGATGGTCCGGCCACGCCGGTCCCGCAGGGAGCTCATGCCAGGCACGCCATAGCACTGCAGCCATGCTCGGAAGGCAGCGAAGTCCTCCTCCCCATGCTCCGGCCCATATCCTTTGCCCCCTGTGGGTCAGAGGAACCGGGCCAGAGTCGGAAGGCAGACTCGGGCTGTGAGGAGGGGGAGCCTGGTCGACCTGGCCCGGACCTCAGCCACACAGCTGAGGGACTGCGTCAGGGGGCCGAGGCTCTCCCTCCCCCAGCTGTGTACCCTCAGGCTGGGGGCTCCCTGGCTCTGGGCCATGGCTTTTCCATCCTGGGGTGGGGTGATTAACCCTTGTCCTGCCCACCTCCTGGGCTGCACAGAGGACACAGATACCTAACAAGTGAGGAGGCTTGATCCAGGTAGCAACAACTAAGTCTATAGACATCCACACCCCAAGTAGGGCAGGAACAGCCCTGGGGTTCCACAGTATTCTGAAGCAGAGGTAGAGCCGTCTTTGGCTCCCAGGGCTCACCCAGCTGGACCACTTCCTTGGGCACGGAGTGACACAGTTCCAGCAGGTCTGGGTTCTGCAGCTTAGCCCTGATCTTCTGGCTCAGGGTCAGCTCCGGGCTCTGGAGAAGGGGCAGAGGCAGGAACTGGCTGGCAGCGTGAGGCAGGGCCACTCAGAAGGCAGATGAGTCCCGGGGTGCAGAACCCCAAGAGCTTAGCAGGACTCAAGAGACAATCCATCTGCCCCCACCCCAGACACTGAAGAGAAAGGGAAATGGGCCCAAAGCTAGAGACACCTAACCCAGCCTTAGTTGTCGTTGGCCGCATTGCTCCCTGCATCCTCACCGGCCTGCGCTGCTGCAGCTCCTCTAGAACCTTACGGGCCTTCTCGAAAGGGGGTATCCTCAGCCTGCAGTGGGGTGGAAAGAGGGAGCCATGCTAAGCAATGGAGAATGCGGGCACACCCAGCCCTTCCTAGTCCTCCCAGTCCACCTGCTGACCGGTACAGGATCTCTGCCCGCAGATAGTTGCCAATGCCATTGAAGAACCTCTGGTCCAAGAGGGCCTCGCAGATGGGCTGGTCAAAGACCTTGTCTGCTAGGTTTCGTAACACGTTCTCCCTGGAGGAACACAGCCAGCCAGGGCACATGAGACCCCCTTCTCTGCCCCCATTCCTGAGGGCTTGACACACAATAGGGGAGAGGGGCCAGCGGTAAGGGGATGTAAGGGGAAGGAATGTGGGAGTCCCTGTTCCCATTTCCCAGCCCTGGTGCTATATTGGCGGTGAAAACCTCCATTTTCCTTTTTTTTCAATATTTTGCTCATTCATTTCGGAGAGACAGAGGAGAGGCAGAGGGAGAAGCAGACTCCCTGCTGAGCTGGGAGCCAGGTGTGGGGCTCCATCCCAGGACCCCAGGATCATGACCTGAGCCAAAGGCAGATGCTTAACCGTCTGAGCCCCTCAGGGGCCCCTCCATTCTCCTGTTAATTGGGAACACCAATATGAGATTTGAATTCATTATGAATGGTGAAAGATACCAATCAAAAGCAATGTGTTCGGGGCCCTGGGTGTCTTTGGCTCAGGTCATGATCCTGGGGCCCTGGGATTGAGCCCTGAGTGGTCGGGGGCCCTGGGATTGAGCCCTGAGTGGTCGGGCTCCCTGCTCAGCAGGGAGCGTGCTTCTCCCTCTCCCTTTGCCCCTCCCACTGCTTGTGCTCACTGTCTCTCAAATAAAATCTTTTAAAAAAGGCAATGTGTTCAAGGAAGCACACGAGTCCGTAGACATTGTGGGTCTATTACCAAAGACCCTCGGATTCAAGACTTCAAGACCTTTTGGAGAACAAGGTGATCCCAAGAGCTCACATGGTGTCCCAAGAGCTCGAGCTCCCTGTCTGGAACTTCAGATGGGCTAGAATGCGGGTCTGACACTGGTGGGGTCAATTTCTCTGAAGACCCTGAAGATCTTCAAGGAAACCGGAGCTGGTTCTGTGCAACAGATGTGTGCTGACAAGTCATGGTTAGAGAGTGTCCCAGCAGCCCCCACACCACGTCCAGGGGTCCCAGATCCCTCCTCACCCCCATGAAGAGGAAATGCACCTTGTTTCTTTGTGGGAAAGGATCCTGGAGAGACTGACTCAGTAACAGGCACAAGGAGCATGTGAAGTAGGGGCCGTAAGACACAGTTTGGGGCCAAGTGGGGAACATTAGCCTAAGTGGTCAGAACACTAGGGGGCAGACCCCTGCATGCTCCCCAGTAGTGGGACCAAAAAAACAGCCAAACTTCTCACATGAGAGAAACTTCAGAGCCAGCTGACATGTAATGACTTCCCAGGAAGGTTAAGGTGGGAGGAATCCAGGACCCTGGGGTGAACTCAGGGTTGTGCCTGGGAAGACCAGGAATCAAGTGGCTTCTGTTGTGCTCAAGACACCCTGACCAACCCTGACGGGCCACCGAGTCTAAGGCCCAATAGAAAGCACATCAAGTCCACTGCAGGCCTTGAGTCTGTGATTCTGTCCCTACAGTGCTTTCCCTCTAGGCCTTTGCAAAGGCTGGGTCCTTTTCATCAGGTGGGCCTTGGCTCAAATCACTTGGAGTGGTCTTTTCCTAATCCCCCAACCCCAGCCCCCCGGCCAAGAGTCATCTACTTCTTGGATTTTTCTTCTATTTGAAGTCACCTACTTTGTTTCCTTGTTCCCTCTGCCCTACCTGAACTTCAGCCTGTGGGAGTGGGACCACATCCATCTTGCTCACTGCAGTACCCGCCCAACACCTGGAAGAGGGCTTGGCACGAAAAAGAAACCCACACACGTTTCATGTTTCGGTGAAGGGAAGTGGCTGGCACCATGCCATCCTCCGAGACACACATCACATCCCAGGTGGGGCGGTGACCCCTCGGGCAGATGGTCACAGACCAGTGGGCAGGCAGAAGTGGGAGACCGTAAACTAATTTCAGAAACCATGGCATGAGGCAGCCCACCGCCTCGAAGCAATTCCTTCCCACTCAGGGAAGGGAGCCTGAGCGGGAATCCTTCTTGCCAGGTTGTTAAAGCCCTGTCACCTTTCTTAGCCTCCGAGAAGCACAGTGGAATGCTGATCCCCAGCTCTGACACAAGCTGGCCACGTGTCCTTGGGACAGGCCTGCCCATCCTCCTCTTGCCCCCCACATCAGTTGTTTTGGGGCTCCACATCCATTAGCTCCCCGGAAAGGACACTTATTGTTAACACATGAAGGGACTGAGGACCAGAGGGCACTAGACTTGTTCCTCACTGGCCAGCGAGGCACTAACAGAGCCAGGACGGGAGCCTAAGACTGTGCTCATCACGCCTGGTACCGGGCCTACCTGAACTGCTCGTACTCCAGCAAGACACAAGGCCCACGGCCGGGCTGCCACTCGCCCCCGAGGTCCCAGTGGCCGAAGCGGCGGATGTCCACGAAGCAGAGGGCGAGTGGGGGGCCAGGGGAAGCTGTGTAAAAGCGCAGGTGGGCGTGGGCCGGCAGCGCGTCCCGGGGCGCCAGCTGGAAGGAGCCAGACATGCCAAAGCGGAAGACCAGGGCCAGTGGCTCCTGTGGGGGCTGGGCCCCAGGCAGGGGGCTCAGAGTCAGGCGCAGCTCCTTGCCACGGGCCGAGGAGGAGATGCAATACGCGCTGCTCTCAAACGGCACCTCGGGGTTGCGGCTGACGGGTGACTTCTCCACGCACCCGGCAAACACCAGCCCCTTGCACGCCTCGTTCACATAGAGACTGGCCAGACGCAGCTCGGGGCCCTCAGGCATTCTGGGCAAGGGGCGGCTGGGCCTGTGGCGGGGGTGGGGGGGTGGGCAGGATGACAGCAGGTGGGGCCAAGCGTCACCTTGTGACATAGAATTATCACCCCATTTTATAAAGGAGAACCCTGAGGGTCAGAGGGGGCCACTAATAGCTTCAATGGGCGGACAAATCAGCCAGCCTGACCATAGGCCCTGGTCCCCAGCTGACGGTGCTCAGAAAGCCCAGGGCGCTATGGGGGCTCAGGTGGGGAAGCAAGACTCTGCCTTATTTAACACCCTCCACGGGGCTTTCATGAGCCCCCACTGCTTTCAGAATGAAGCCCAGATCCCTCCTGAGCCCACAGGGTCCTCTCATTTCCTCCCACATTCCCCCTCATTCACTGGCTCCAAGCACAGTCTCCCCATTGCCACGTCTTTGTCCTTGTTGTCCTTTCAGTCTGGGACACTGGAGAGAGGCCTTCCCTGACCACTCTCTCTGAGGTAGTTTTCTTCATGGCATCCCCAGAATCTGAAATCATCTTGTTTGTTGTCTCCCTCTACCTCCACTCCCACCTCAGAGGGCAAGCTCTGCTTGCTCATGACTCCACTTCTTAGGACCGGAACAACTGATGGAGCGACCCTAACCCTAACCCCACCTGGGGAATGAGACTCGGGGAACCATGCTACTCTGCCAGAGACTCTGCCCGCAGCAAGGACCAGCCTGTCACCACCCACTGCTCAGGACCAGACCCAGGACAAGGGGGAGGGAAGGCAGGTGTCTCCAGGCCCATATGCGCTGGAACCAGGTGCCCACGACTCTTGAGGGAGGAGGACAGGGGTGACAGGAAGGGCTCCCGAGCTCCAGGCCAAGGTCCAGGGGAGTAGAGGAAATGCCCGCATCAGCACCAAGCGCCAGCCCGTGGGAATCAAACTCCACCCCCTACACCTGGCTGGGGAGGAGTTTCCACTCTCCTCCAGGACCTGCCCAGATCAAGGCCAGGTTTTGTGTGGGGCAGAAGGGGGATTTAGCCAGGGAGGGCAGACTCCCTTACCCCCGTCCCCCTCTTCAGCGCCGTCTGGGGCCTGGCACCAAAAGAGATCGTTTTCCGGTAAAAGGTGAAAGTCCAGATTCTTAACTTCCGCAGGGCGGGCACCCCATTGCTCGCCTCCCCTTCACCACCCTGCCCTGCTGCCCATCCTCGGCTAGTCCCAGGTCCCTTCCTCCCCAAGGTCCCCAAACCCCATCCCCTCCTCAGCTCTGCCGCTTCCTCCCCCCCAAATAACTTGCTCCCCACGCAGCTCCCCGCCAGTCGGCAGCCACTGAGGGGTTAACGTGGGGGCCCGGCCGCGCCTAAGAGCATGCTGGGAGCTGAGATCGCTGCTCTGGCGCCTGCTGGGAAGTGTAGTTTCTAGAGCAGGTGGCAGTGCTTGGCTAGGATGGGCTGGGGGCCCCATGTGTGGAAAAGGCTTTGGAGGCAGTCACCTGTCCGGGAGGTGGCGGAGGAACCTGGCTTCCTGCTGCTCGGTGCCGCTGGGATTGGGGTCAGGTCTGAGGTCCCGGGTTGCAGCTGTCTCCGTGGCGGGGTGGGGGGATGTTTGAGGGGGGGGAGTCACCCGACTAGTCCCAGACAGGGTAGGCACTCCCAGCAGGAAACAGCGGCAAGGTCCAGAGGCCTAGGCGCCTGCACCTGTGCGCAGGGCGCGCAGGTGCGTGAAAAACGCAGGCCCTGGGGACCCGGTGGTGGCCCCTAAACCACCAGGCACAGTCAGACGTAACACATACACAGAAGCACCATCACCACCTGCAGGGTGGCAAGTGTAGCCAAGCAACAAAAAGTGGCAGAGAAGCAGAACAGACTTCAGATGGTCAGTTCTGGTCTCAAGGGGCCTCTGTAATGAGCTTGCATTCCGTCCTAAGTGCGGTCGGCACAGGTGCCTGCCTGACCCATAGCCTGGATCTGCCCCTTCATACTACTTCTGCTTCCTCATTCCTTGCGGCCGAAGTATTCTGAAGTAAACTAGGCAAACTACAACAAACTACCACATTTCATCCCTAATACTTCAACATGCATCTCAAAAGCGGTATCCTACAAAGCCACATTTATCATACCTAATAAAATTAATACCATCTAATACCTAGTCCACGTTCAAATTTCCTTAATTGTCCCCAAAATGTCTTTTATGGCTGGTCTGTTCAGAGTTCAGCCAAGGGTTACAGGTTTCTTCAATCATTTTTTTGATTCAGATGGAACCACCCTGTCCATCTTCCCACTCACCCCACCCCTCCTTTTTGGTCTTCATGACACTGACCTTTCTGGAGTCCAACCCAGTTGTTTTCTGAGAGGCCCCTTCACACTCTGGATTTGTCTGAATGTTTACTCAGATGCACTGCACTCCAAGCTGCATCTCGGTAGGAGACACCCAACATCTGGCTGTCCCACGTCAGTGAGGCTGAAACCAATCACGGGTGAGGTTGTGACAGCCCGTCTCTGCTTTGTAAAGATGTTTCACACCTCATGACTACTAAGTAACCGATGGGGTGATTTCTCTGCTGGTTGGTATCTTGTTTTGTTTAAATTAAGGTAAAATTCACCGTGTGTAGAATGAGTTTTGACAAATATATACACTCACATAACTATGGCCACAATCAAAAGAATACATTCCCCTCACCCCCCGCCAACCTGGCAGTTTCCACTTCTACCCCACCTGCTGCCAACCCCTGACCTGCTTTCTGTCCCTATGGTTTTGGCCTTCTCCATGCTACCACATGAATAGAATCGTCAGTACATAGCCTTCTGAGTCTGGCTTCTCAGCATGATGCGTTGAGACCATCCTTTTCTTGGTACACAATTGTGGAGAGAGCCTCTTCTTTTTTTTTAAGATTTTATTTATTTATTTGACAGAGAGAGAGAGATCACAAGTAGGCAGAGAGAGAGGCAGAGAGAGGAAGGGAAGCAGGCTCCCCGCCTAGCAGAGAGCCTGATGTGGGGCTCGATCCCAGGACCCTGGGATCATGACCTGAGCCGAAAGCAGAGGCTTCAACCCACTGAGCCACCCAGGCGCCCCCCCCTTTCTGCTCATCAGCCGTTTTCTTTCGACTGCGGGGTAGTATTCCAGTATTCCGTGTTTATCCAGTGTTTATCCAGTTTCCAGCTGAGGGGCGCTGGACTGTGTGAAAGCATCCCTTAGCACCCCGCAAATACCGTTTCACATCATATAAACTTTTCACCTAATGGCTCTATCATCCCCAAGGATCCCTGCCTCAATCAAGTATTTAAGCAGGAATTACAAAATGGTGATTTTTCTCTCACTCCTTGTATCTTAATGGGAATTCTTCTGTAAAGAAGAGCTTTACCTCTTTGACTAAGGCCACTTGATTGTCCTGAAATGTTAAAAAGACAGGATAAATTCTGTATTCCTTCCCTTTAATGATCAATTTTCAGACTAAGAATCTGGTGCATTAACATCCAATGGTGACAAACTAGGACTCATTTGGGGTTTTTTGGTGGTGGTGAGGAACTTTTGTCTTTTATAGACTCTTTCCTATTATCAATTCATGGATTTTTTTTCTTTTTTTTACATTCAACACAAGTAAATCCATTACCGTCTTTATCTTCTCCCCCATTTAATGGAGTACTCATCAGGCACCAAAACTATACACACACAGGAACATAATTCCCATCCTTAAGAAACTCAGGAGGGTAAAAGAGGCAAATGAGTAAATACAAAATGACAATGCACCTGTGCGATTTTGTGACAGCACAGAAGAGGGAATGCAACCTAGGAAATCAAGCAAATGTGAAACGTTTGAGGAAACTTAGAATTTCCTGTGACTTCCGCCTGCTGCTTTTTGTTTATTCCATTTCTCTTTGGTCTTCCTCCTGCCTTCCTGTGGGTGACCTGAATTTTTAGAACTCCAGTTTGACTTATCAGTATGGGCTTCGAGTGCAATACATTGCACGGCCTTTGAAGCAGCTGTTCTAGATATTATACACACGTACTTGCCACAGTTCACTGGTGTTGACATTCTAAATGTAGGAATCTCACTCCCTTTCCCCCTTTCCTGTTTATAATAACCTTGCGTGTTTCCTCTACATACCTTGAGAACCACATCCAACAATGTTTTATGTTTTGCTCCAGCTGCTGAACATAACTTGAAATACTCAAGGAAAGTCTAACTCTATCCACAGCTTCACACCTTCCATCGTTCCTCCTTCCTGATGTTCCGAGATTCCTTATCATTTCCTTCCTTATCAGAGATCCTCCTTTCGCCATTTTATTTTTAGGTTAGGTCTGCTGGTGACAAATCATATTAGTTATCCTTTATCTGAGAATATCTTGATTTTCCCCTTTTACTCTTGAGGTAGTTTTTGTGGAATACAGAATTTTCAGTTGACACTTTTCTTTCAGACCTGAAAAATGTTGTGCTTCTCCCTTTTGGCCTCTATGGTTTCTGGCAAGAAATCCACTCATGTGTTTTTCCCCCCATAAGGTAACATGTCATTTTGCTCTTGCTGCTTTCAAGATTGTTTTCTTTAGTTTTCTGAAGTTTGTTGTCATTTTGTACTTCGGCATGGATTTCTTTGGGTTTAACCCATATGGGATTCATTCAGCTTCTTGATTCTGTAGGCTTGGGTCTTCTGCCATATGGGGGAAATTTGCAGCCATGATTTCTGTGCATGCTTTTTCTATTCTGCCCTTTTTCTCCTCACCTTCTGGGACTCTGATGACGTATTAGATCTGATGTTACAGCCTGCAGGCTCCGAGGCTCTGTTTGATTGTTTTCTGTGTGTTTATTTCCCAAACTAATTTCTGTTGTTCAGATTGGGTAATTTCTACGAATATCTTCAAATTTATGGATTCTTTCTTCTGTTGTTCAGTCCATCTTATTTTTACTTTGATTGCAGATTTTTCTAAAACTTCTCATTCTTTGTATCTTCTATTTCCTTGTTAAGACCTGAGGCATTTTTATGATGGCTACTTTAAAATCCCTGTCATACAAGTCGGGAGTTATCTTAGTGTTGGCATCTGTTGTTTTCTCATTCAAGTTGAAATCTTAGCTCTCGGTTTGTCTGTTTTTTTGAATCCTGGACATTTGGGGTATTGAGACTCTGGATATTATTTAAATCTTCTTGGAGCACTTGGGGGGTTCAATTGGTTAAACATCCGAGTCTTCATTTCAACCCATGTCATGATCTCAGGGTCATGAGATCGAGCTCATATCTGCTTGATTCTCTCTCTCCCCCTCCCCTGCTTGTATGCAAAAAAATTATATATTTTATATTTTGTAGATGTACATACATATATATAACATATATGCATGCATGCCAGCGGGGTGGAAGAGGAGCTGCAGTTTCTCTGAGGTGTGACTGGAGGACAGAAGCTGCCATCTCTAAGTCCCCCGTCTAATCAGATGGCCCCTTTCCTGATCCCCTGGCTCAAGAGAGCACGCCGCGGTTGGGGCTTTCGATGTGCTGGGGTTTCTTGGGTTGCCAGTTCTCTAGCACCCAGCCCAGGACACATGGAGCAAAAAGAAAACCTAAGGATGGCTCTGCTCTGCTGTTCTCCAGTTCCCGAGGATCTCAGAGAATCTGCCTTCTCTTCACCTTGTAGAGTCTTCTGTCCAAGGTTTTCAGCTGTACTTAGTGGGAGAAACAGGAGAAAGCGCATCTGCCCCATTTTTCTAGAAGCAGAGATCAGGACTGGAGTCAGTCCTTAACTTTTTGATGCTTAAAACTGTCACATCTTTGGCCAGTGGAACAAGCTGGCTCCTCCTGATGGCTCTCATTGTTGTTTGGTAACTTCCCTGCACCCCAAGATGTTTTCAGGCCACTTGTCTTAGCTCAGGGTACTGTCACAAAACCCCATAGACTGGGTGGCTTAAACAGCAGACCTTTATTTCTCATAGTTCCAGAGGCTGGGAAGTCTAAGATCAAGGAGCTGGCAGATTTGGTTCTTAGTGAGGGCCTTCTCCTGCTTTGCTGTTCTCATGTGGCCTTTTCTTGGTACACAATTGTGGACAGAGCCTTTCTTTTTTTTTTTTTTTTTAAGATTTTATTTATTTATTTGACAGAGAGAGAGAGAGATCACAAGTAGGCAGAGAGAGGCAGAGAGAGGAAGGGAAGCAGGCTCCCCGCCTAGCAGAGAGCCTGATGTGGGGCTAGATCCCAGGACCCTGGGAGCCGAAAGCAGAGGCTTCAACCCACTGAGCCACCCAGGCGCCCCCCTTTCTCTTCTTCTAAGGGCACTAATCCCTTCATGAAGGTCCCACTCTCATGACTTCATCTAAAACTAATTACTGTCCAGGGCACCTGGGTGGCTCAGTGGGTTAAAACTAATTACTGTCCAAAACCCCATCTCCTAAAACCATCTCACTGAAGGGTTAGGGCTTCAACAAGGAATAGGGGGTGGACACACACATGCAGCCCCTAACCCCACTCCTCTTGCCAATGAGTGGTTCAGGCACGGGCCCTCCTCTCTTCCAAACGAAGATGGCAGGAAGAGCGAGGCGCTCTCCTTTCTCTACTCGGGGCATCTGGCACTGGGGACGTGAGCTTGCTCCCAGCCTGCAGACACGGCCAGCACAGGAGGCAGAGCCACAAACACTGCAGGACTGGGAGCTAGAACCCTGACTTTCTGATCTACAGACAAGGTGTTTCATTTCAGTCCTCATTCTGCCTCACCCCTGACCTGCCTCAACCAGCAGCTGAAAAGAGAGAGCAAGTAATGGGCCAGGGAGGTCAGGATGTCACTTGGCTCCTCTCACAAAAACCTTTCATCTGAGCCAAACAGAAACCTGCGCACGCACTCCTTTACACTTGTTTATTCTTCCGGCTCATCGGAACTGTTGACAAGTGCCCTTCGCGGGGCAGGGAAGGCAATGCTCCAGAAGTCCTCAGAATCCTTATGCTGAATTCTCATGTGGGAACCTAGCAAGTCAGAGATCTGGGAGGCCCGGCCTCCAGGGTCCTGGAGTTGCGGCCACCCACGAAGAGGAGTTTGGAGGGCAGTGACGCAACACGGGCCCCAAACACCCTTCTCCTCAGCCCAGGGAGCTCATCAGGGTCTGAGCCTGCTTCAGTTCTGCAGAGGGAAGAGGTGAGCAGGTGGGTGGCAGTCTGGTGGGATCTGGGAGGGCCCCTTCCCCTTCCAGGGACAGCTGAGTCTCACCTGCAAGGAGGACCTGGAACTTGTCAGCTGAGAGCGACATGGCCACAGGCTGGGCTGCGGCGCCCGAGGCAGCTGCCACCTCCAGCTTCAGGTGCACCATGGGCTCTGCCACAGCCCGAAGCAAGCTGGAGCTCAGGGTGTAGTCCACCCGCCAGCCCACACCTGCCAGCCTGTTCACTGTGAAACGGGGTGGCTGTCAGGATCACAGGCTGCTGAGCTACACAGCCCTCAGCCCACACCCGGCTCCGCTCTCAACCCTTCAAGGCTGTGTGCCTTTGAGAACCTCTCCTCCCTCTGACCCAGTGAAGGGGCTCAATAATCAGTAGTGAGATTATCCACAGCAGGTCTCAGAGGAAAGAAATCTGGGCTGGAGTCAGGAGTCCTGGCTCCGTGACTGCCTGACATGTGACCAGGGTTAAGTCTCCTTTCTGAGGACCAGCACCTCACACGCAGCATGCATCTTCCAGAACGGAGCCCAAACTCCACCCCGGCCCCTGCCACACTTACCACGCAGGCTGCAGGTCCGCAGATGCTCCTGTAGGGGGCTTTGCTTCTCCTCATAACAGCGACACAGGCTGGCCGCGTGCTCTGGGGACAGAATGGAGGCCCCTTCATGTAGCCGGTGGGGGCTCAGACTGCTCACAGGGCCGGTGTCGGGCTCCCGGAGGGCAGGGCACATCTCAAAGCCACTCGGCCTGGCCTGCTGCCCAGCACCCCGGGGCACACAGGTCCCCCGCCCGCCTGCCTGCATACCCGTACCTTTGGGGAGCCCCAGCTGCTGCAGTTCACTAGACAAGGACTCGCCATCCACGCTATGCTTGGCCGCACTGGAGAGGATGAAACTCAGCACTGCCACCGTGGCCTTGACATCGCCCGACTCTGGGGGGACCCATGGGTGGGGTAGGGGGTGTCACTGTGGCCTTGGCCACCTTCTTGTTGCCCCACTATCTTCAGCTCCCAGCACCCGGGCCTCCTTGAGCCATGAGCACAGCTACTGCCTCCCCAGGAACAGGCAGAGGGCGGGACTGGCAACACAGCTCCTTCCCTGGGGCTCCTCTCCTGAGGCAAGTGCAGCAGGAGAGGCTGCTGGGAGGAGGGGCCTCTGTGCTAAGCCCCGCTGAGCTGAGCATCCACTGCGGCCCAAAGGTCTGCAGGACTGAGTGGGTACTCACCAAACCTGGCATCAGCAGTGAGCTTCAGGATCTTCTCGTACTATGGGGAAAGGAGGCCCTCAGAGTATGCCAGGCCCCTGCTCACCAGCCGCCTGCACCCCAGTCTGCATCCTGATTGCCCTCCCCCCCACCACCCCCGGTTCTGGTGCACTTTCAGGGCAGTAAGGATCAGAGGGTCATGGGACAGTGGGGTGCTGGGCCCTGCACTCACGTCAATCCCCTGTCCCAGAAGCTCCTTCAGCACCTGGCTACACAGCAACCTCAGCTTCACGGAGGACTGGAGGGGAAGGCCTTGCATGAGCCAAACTGGCCCACCCCCCACCCCCATGCTGGGGGGCTGGCCACATGATTAGAGTCACACAGCAGGCTAGGACAAACTGAGGGCCCTGAGGCCCCAACCTCAGAGGGACCTCACCACCCTCCCTCCCCAAAGCCCCTACCCTCAGTCCCCGCCTCCCACCCTAGAAGACCCCGTGCACTCAACAATCTTGGCCAGCGTGCTGATCTCCGCCAGGACCCAGTCAGGACAGTCCAGATCACCACAGAACCGGAACCTCTGCACAGGAGTGAGGCAGGCAATCAGGATTCAGGGCTCAAGTGTGGCCAGGGGTCTCCCACATTACTGTTCTTCAGGGACCCCTGCTTCCTGTCCAAGATGGATGCCACTGGCCATTTGTTCTCTCCTATTTCCAGGCTGTTTAGAGAAACCCCTCACAGACCCACCTGCCACCAAACCTTGCTCTGTTGCCTATCCTAGGCATTCATGTGCTCAGAAAACACGGACTGTGGCAAACTTCTCTGTGGCAGACCCCATTCTAAGCGCTGGGATTAGAGAACAGAACAATGTCCTTGTCATGATGTCAGTGACCTATCACCTCCCCCGCCAGTTCCAGCCACACTGGCCTCCCTGATATTCCGGCTACACCAGGCACTCCCCATCCTGTCCCTGCTGGCCCTCTGCACACCCTGCTCTCTCACCTCTTTCTGGTCTCTGCTCAAATGGGCCTTCTCTGACCTTCCTTCCTTCTTTTTTCTTTCTTTTCTTAAGATTTACTTATTTATTTGAGACAGCACGAGAACACGAATGGGAGGGGCAGAGGGAGAGGGAGAGAGAATCTCAAGCAGACTCTGCACGGAGCGCAGAGCCTGACCCAGGGCTCGGTCCCAGGACTCTGAAGATCATGACCTCAGCTGAAACCAAGAGTTGGACACTTAACCAACTGAGCCACCAGGCACCCCTGCCCATACTTTCTAAAACAGCCTCTTGTACAAAGGAGTTTCAGAGGCCAGTGGGTATGTTCGTTATCTTGATCGTGGGAACATATACATTTCAGAACTTATTGAACTGTACATTTATACACGTGTGTTACTATTGATTTTATCTCAGTAAAACTGTTCAAAAATAAAATAGCTCTTCTGCATCATGCTTTAGTCCCTAACCTTTCTTGATCTCCACAGAAGACATCACATTTATTATTTCCTCGAGGTCTGTCTCCTGTTAGAATGCAAACCCATCCTGTTGGCCACATCTTGCCAATATTCTCCATTCCCTGGATCAACTGTCCTTCGGCCTGTCTGCCCGGCAAAGCTCCAGAGCACAGCAACATACATGGCCAGCTTCCCACATCTCTTACATATGGGCTGCTTACAGATGCTGGGAACAAAACCCCGCAAACCAAGGACACCTCACACCCACATTCTCCTGGTTCTGCTGGGCCCTCAGTGCAGCCTGGCAACACCATATCCCCTACTTGCCCCAACCAGTCACCTTCTCGGTCACATCAGACCTGCTCCATGATCCTTCAACCACCAGCTCTCTTGCTGTTTTTGGTCTGAACCCCCAGCATTGGTGCTTCTATGTGGGCTTCCCATGAAGTCTTCTAGCCGTGGTCCCAAATGACTGTCACTAAATCTGGCCTTCCTCTTCCCAACTCCTCAGCAGCATCCCACATGAACCTGTCCTCCCTGGTGAAGCAGCATACAGGAGAGTATTGTTCCCTGTCCTGGCCTCAGTCTCATTTGCTGGCTCACCCTCCTTCCCCCAGCCCCCAAATGGTGATCTCCGCACACTGCCTGCATCATTACTCTGGGACAGGGGCCTGGGACAACTGATGAGGTGACAGGGCATTAAGGATAGTCTTGCACTTTTGTCTCTATTTCAGGAGTTTTTCACCTTTTTCTGCCATAGCCTCATCTGGCATCTGGTGGAGCCTTATAGGCCTTTCTCAAAACCATGTTTTTAAATGCATAAAATACACAGGATTGCACAGGAAACTAAGTTATCAGGACAAATTGGTGATGTGATGTTTCAAGTCTAATACCCATAACTTAAAAACGATCTGCATAAATATGTGAACAATGTCACTAGCTGTAATATGATATGAAAATAACTAATTTCTATTGATGACAAAGTCAGAGGTGCTATGAATAACTGGGGCTGGCTGCCAACATTCATAATGGAAGGAAATGCTAAATTTGAAGTTAGTGAAAATTAAGATGTGAGATTTTTCCTAAGTTCATGGGCCCCGACTTCTACTCACAGAAGTCATCTACCATCTCTGTGTTATCTACATTTTTTTACAAGGATGTGTTCCTTGTGTAATTTCTTAAAATGCTGGCATTTCTCTAGGTTCTGCGCTAGGTCCTCTGTTCCCAATTCACATCACTGAGATGTTACATGTTTTTAGGCTTACATGGATCATCTTTGTGCTGACTCCCCAATTTATAACTGCATTGTAGCTTCTCTTCTGAGTCTTAGACCCTTAAATCTAGACTGTCTTCTAGCCAGCTGCACCTGATAACTAGCAGAAACCTCACAGAGAGCCGCCCATCAAAGTTAACTTTTGGTCTTCACACTAAAACCTGCTCCCCTTCCTATGTTTTCCACCCCACTGAGCACCACCACCCAGGAGCCAACCCCAGTCACCCAGCTCTCCCTTTTCCCTCATGCGTTTCCCCACTTCTATCTCCACTCTCTCCGCCCTAACTCAGGTCACCACCATCCCCTGGGGGGTCTGCTCCCCTCCTGCTCCCTCCACAAGTCAGCCAAGAGGATTTTCCTAGCTTCCCAGGGCCCTCTTCTTAAAGTCTAAACTCCTTTCAATGCTCTCAAGACCCAGAAGGATTTGGTCTTTGTTACCTGTTGAGCCTCGTCTTTCACTAACCTCCAGGTGATACCCTTCCAACTAGGTTATGTGCATCCTAGCGAGCCATGCTCTCTCTCACCTGAATGCTGTTCTCTGAAGATAGAGGGCCCCCTCCCCAAGCCTCCTAACCCCTGGTACACAAACTTCACTGCAGCCGGCCAGTTCTCTTCCCTGCCCCCACACCCTCCGGTTGCTGTCACCCTCAGGAAGCCTTCCTAACGCTACACACAAGGCACAGTTAGGTCCCCTCCCCTCAAGTCTTAATTATGCCTGCCAAGTCAAGCCTCCTGCAGCTTAAGCCCCAGTGCCTGGCACGCTGGATGGTGCAGAGGAGGCACTCAAAGTCTGTTGAAGGAATAAATGGATGGAGCTGTTGAGAAGTCCCAACCCCACGTCTACTCCTTTCTGGCTCTGGGAAGGATGGAAAGACTTCCGAACAGGGTGTAAGACTGAGCCTAATTCTATGCAAGTTGTTCTCCAGGTCGCACAGGAGGGCCGGGAAGAGGGCACCTCTGGGAGGTCGTCCCGGGGCGAGGAAGGCTTGGAAGCGCTCCCGTTCCAGTCAGCATCCACTTCCAGCCCTGGGGGGTGCTGGCCCTTCCTTCCCGCCGAGGAAGCACCGGGACTCCAAGCTCGCGGCTCCCCAGCCCGCCCGTCCTGCCAGCCGGACGCTCGGCCCTCACGACCGCACCCAGGTGTCTGCCGAGGGGCCGGGACTTCCTCCACCTCCCCGCCCCGGCGCTCAGTCTCCCGTGGCAACAAAGGCGAGAGTCGGGTCCCTTACAGCCCGCCAGGGCGCCCCGCCTCCCCGCCTCCCGTCAACCCCCGGCCCTCACCATCGCGCTAGCAAGCCGACCCGCGTCCTCCTCCGACGCGCGCGCACTGCTGACGCGACGGTCACGTGTGTGGGCGGGGCTTTCGGGCAGGGGGCGAGCCTGGCCGGTTCGGGGGCGGGGTCGGGGGAGCGCGGGTGGCCGCGGCTGGAGCTCCCGGGGAAGGCTGATGAGCTCACTGCCTGTCTCCCCAGAACCCCTTCCCGGAGGTGACCGGCATCAATCCCCCTCCCCGACCCGGTTTAGTTAGAAAAGAGGGCGTGGGAGTCACTGAATGTGTTCGACTTAAGGGAGCAGGAGTCCGGACCCCGGAGCACTTAGAATGATTCCCGTATGAAGGGGGATTCAGGTCGGTCCCTGTTCCCCGCCAGTAAGCCGTGCCCTTATCGATACCTATGGGCTGTGGCAAAAGGCGGTTTAAAAATTTTCCTGAAATATGATACACATACAGGAAATTGGACGTACTGTAAGTATAAAGGTTAAATGAATTTTCATAAACTGTACAGCCCACATCTCCAGCACCCATTTAAGGAAACATTACCAGTAAGCCACATAGCTCCTTCGAGTGCCTGAGTATTTCATTTAATTTTGATGAATTCCCCTTAGTTGCCTTAGTTACAGTTGGCTGTAACAATTCACATGCCCAGAACTCTCCCTGTGGCTTCACCAACATTAGATCTTTATCTTAGTTTTTCTCAATGGAATAGGAGAAAAATAGGCTGTTTTAAGTTGCATTAGCTTGCTTACTGGTGAGTTTGAACAGAAGATGGACTAGGAAAACTAAGTTTCCAATATTCACTTAAAGACGTTAAAAAAAAAAAAAAAACCAGCAACAGCGCCAAAAATACCCTAGAGAATAGACTAAAAAACCAAAAAAGAAATTGAACAATTTGAGATCTCTTTTTTTTTATTTTTTACAAACATATAATATATTTTTATCCCCAGGGGTACAGGTCTGTGAATCACCATAGCACATACCCTCCCCAATGTCCATAACCCCCCCCCACCCAACCCCCTCCCCCCATCAACCCTCAGTTTGTTTTGTGAGATTAAGAGTCACTTATGGTTTGTCTCCCTCCCAATCCCATCTTGTTTCATTTACTCTTCTCCTACTCCCTTAGCCCCACATGTTGCATCTCCTCTCCCTCATATCAGGGAGATCATATGATAGTTGTCTTTCTCCGATTGACTTATTTCACTAAGCATGATACCCTCTAGTTCCATCCACGTCGTGGCAAATGGCAAGATTTCATTGTATATATATACCACTTCTTCTTTATCCATTCATCTGTTGATGGACATCTAGGTTCTTCCCATAGTTTGGCTATTGTAGACATTGCTGCTATAAACATTCGGGTGCATGTGCCCCTTCGGATCACTACGTTTGTATCTTTAGGGTAAATACCCAGCAGTGCAATTGCTGGGTCATAGGGTAGCTCTATTTTCAACATTTTGAGGAACCTCCATGCTGTTTTCCAGAGTGGTTGCACCAGCTTGCATTCCCACCAACAGTGTAGGAGGGTTCCCCTTTCTCCGCATCCTCGCCAGCATCTGTCATTTCCTGACTTGTTAATTTTAGCCATTCTGACTGGTGTGAGGTGGTATCTCACTGTGGTTTTGATTTGTATTTCCCTGATGCCGAGTGATATGGAGCACTTTTTCATGCGTCTGTTGGCCATCTGGATGTCTTCTTTGCAGAAATGTCTGTTCATGTCCTCTGCCCATTTCTTGATTGGATTATTTGTTCTTTGGGTGTTGAGTTTGCTAAGTTCTTTATAGATTTTGGATACTAGCCCTTTATCTGATATGTCGTTTGCAAATATCTTCTCCCATTCTGTCAGTTGTCTTTTGGTTTTGTTAACTGTTTCCTTTGCTGTGCAAAAGCTTTTGATCTTGATAAAATCCCAATAGTTTATTTTGCCCTTGCTTCCCTTGCCTTTGGCGATGTTCCTAGGAAGATGTTGCTGCGGCTGAGGTCGAAGAGGTTGCTGCCTGTGTTCTCCTCAAGGATTTTGATGGATTCCTTTCTCACATTGAGGTCCTTCATCCATTTTTAGTCTATTTTCATGTGTGGTGTAAGGAAATGATCCAATTTCATTTTTCTGCATGTGGCTGTCCAATTTTCCCAACACCATTTATTGAAGAGGCTGTCTTTTTTCCATTGGACATTCTTTCCTGCTTTGTCAAAGATTAGTTGACCATAGAGTTGAGGGTCTATTTCTGGGCTCTCTATTCTGTTCCATTGATCTATGTGTCTGTTTTTGTGCCAGTACCATGCTGTCTTGATGATGACAGCTTTGTAATAGAGCTTGAAGTCCGGAATTGTGATGCCACCGACTTTGGCTTTCTTTTTCAATATTCCTTTGGCTATTCGAGGTCTTTTCTGGTTCCATATAAATTTTAGGATTATTTGTTCCATTTCTTTGAAAAAAATGGATGGTACTTTGATAGGAATTGCATTAAATGTGTAGATTGCTTTAGGTAGCATAGACATTTTCACAATATTTATTCTTCCAATCCAGGAGCATGGAACATTTTTCCATTTCTTTGTGTCTTCCTCAATTTCTTTCATGAGTACTTTATAGTTTTCTGTGTATAGATTCTTAGCCTCTTTGGTTAGGTTTATTCCCAGGTATCTTATAGTTTTAGGTGCAATTGTAAATAGGATTGACTCCTTAATTTCTCTTTCTTCTGTCTTGTCGTTGGTGTAGAGAAATGCAACTGATTTCTGTGCATTGATTTTATATCCTGACACTTTACTGAATTCCTGTACACGTTCTAGCAGTTTGGGAGTGGAATCTTTTGGGTTTTCCACGTATAGTATCATATCATCTGTGAAGAGTAATAGTTTGACTTCTTCTTTGCCGATTTGGATGCCTTTAATTTCCTTTTGTTGTCTGATTGCTGAGGCTAGGACTTCTAGTACTACGTTGAATAGCAGTGGTGATAATGGACATCCCTGCCATGTTCCTGACCTTAGTGGAAAAGCTTTCAGATATTCTCCATTGAGAATGATATTTGCGGTGTGTGAGATCTCTTTTTGATTACACATCCCACCCCCCATAAACCAGGCCCAGCTGGTTTTATTGTTGCAGCCTTTCAAGCTTTCAAAGGACAGAACCCATAGCAATTAAACTGCTCCATAAATAGAAAAAGATGGAAAGCTTCCCAGTTCATGCTAAAATCGATCTCATTTATAAAAAGCTTTTTAAAAATTATAAATGTCAGCATGTTGAAGTCAACAATGTGTTAAAATACTACACTATGTCAAAGAAAAACTTCATCTTAAGAATTATAAGACAGGGGTACCTGGGTGGCTCAGTGGGTTAAGCCTCTGCCTTCGGCTCAGGTCATGATCTCAGGGTCCTGGGATCGAGGCCTATATTGGGCTCTCTGCTCAGCGGGGAGCCTGCTTTCTCCTCTCTCTCTCTATGCCTGTCTCTCTGCATACTTGTGATCTCTCTCTCTCTGTTTCAAATAAATAAATAAAATCTTAAAAAAAAAAGAATTATAAGACAGGCTCAACTTCTGTTTCATTATACTAATAGGTTAAAGAAGAACACAGTTGATAAGACTTGGAAAACCAGTTTTGATTCAAAAAGAGAAAAAAGAAAAATTGGGAATAGGTGGAAACTGCCTTAAGTTGATGGAGTATTTGAAAAATGAAAGAGCAAACATGAGACTTAACATCAAAGTATTTAAATCTGGAAACTAGGCAAAAGGGTGTCCTTTTAATGTCATACTGAAACATTGTCTCACAGATTTGTTTCACAAATAGAGATTGACTATTTAGAGCAGTGGTTCTCAGACTTTTCAGTGTGTCAGAATCACCCGCAGGGCTTGGGGAGACAGAGGTGTGTCCCACCCTCAACGTTTCTAATTAAATAAGCCTGGGATAGGAAATGAAAACGTGCAATTTCCACAAGTTCCCACGTGATGCTGATGCTTCCGCTTTGAGGACTATACTTTGAAAACCACTAATGTAGGAAAACGTACCTGAAAAGTTATGTGATAATTTACAGATTTCTGTCTAGGAGAAAAGATAATCCCAAAGAGTACAGTTTTATCTCCCTGTAAGACATCAACAAATTTTCTAATTGGGCACACTAGAAATGCTTTTCAAAATGTTACTTGAACTTGCTTTACCATCTTACTGAGTCCTTCTTTTTTTATTATTATTATTATTTAAAGATTTTTATTTATTTATTTGACAGAGAGAGATCACAAGCAGGCAGAGAAGCAGGCAGGGAGGTGGGGGAAACAGGCTCCCTGCTGAACAGAGTTTGACGCGGGGCTCCATCCCAGGACCCTGAGACCATGACCTGAGATGAAGGCAGAGGCTTTAACCCATTGAGCCACCCAGGCGCCCCCCTGAGTCCTTCAATGATTAATATTCAACACTCATTCTTTCATTATTTGTATGACAGTCATGCTTTTACTTTTTGCAGATTAAACTTTGAGAAAGTATACTAGCCCTGAACAGGAAATACTCGTATACTTCAATACTAGACGAGACCCATTAAAGTCTGGAGCAGTTATGTGCCGGCATTACTGTGATCCAACATTATTCTAGATGCTTAGGCCAGTGGTTCTCAGCTGGGGGTGATTTTGCCTCTCAGGGGTATTTGGTAATGTCTGGCGATATTTTTCATTGTTACCACTAGGGAGTGCTGCTGGGATCCAGAAGACAGAGGCCAGAGATCCTCCTAAACATTCTACACCGCTCAGGACAGTCCCCCATAATGAAGAATTATCTAGCCAAAAATGTCAATAGTGCTGGTGTTAAGAAACTCTATTCTAGATAAATAAAACATGGGAAAACCACTAGCATAAATGTTGGAAAAGAAAAAAGCTCATATTTGCAGATGACAGTCTATCTGAAAAATCAAAAGAAGCACCTGAAGAAAAACTAGAAGTCACAAAATGCCAGTTGCCTGGGGTGGGGGGAGTTGGGATGACAGGGGTGGCGGGGGGCAGGGAGTGGGGAGCGGTGTGAGGTGGAGCATTGAGTGAGGCTCTCCAGGCCTACCTGGGGCAGAGGAGAGTCAGAAACCCACAGGTAA